CAACTTGGCTTGGAACTTGCCATTCGAGGTACTCAACATGTAATCAAGAACACAGGATGCAAGATGAACATTCAAGGTTTCACAAATAAAAGCTGTTCTTACAGTAGGAGTAGATATTTAGTTATGAGTCCATTTACTGTCTCTTAGCTCTTAAACTAAAGTGGAGTAATTTGAATATCTTACATCAGGGTTTTTTAAAGTCTGAGACTGCGGGCCTCCCCTCTGCAGAGCTTGGGAAGAGGCAGCCCAGAGCCCTCTTAGTTTACTTGCTTAGTTTTCCTCAATTCCTGGATACCATGATTATGTTATTTGATCCCATAGACATTCAAAATTTGAGGCAAGATAGCCTAATATTACAGTTTGACATAACGTCACAGTACACCAAATACATTTTAAAAAGTTCTGTCCTAAGGCATGTATTAGTTTATGACTCTGATAAAGTGGGGAAAAACGTTCCCCAAATAAACTATATCTCTGAACACTTTCTTTAACCAAATCAGGCTATTCTATGTGATCTCCTTTTGATAACTAATGTAATATTGTTTCACGCCCGTTCACTGAGCCTCACCTGAAACAGTTTGGAACCCCTCTGGGGAGGCCCATCTCACACTTGGAAAGCCTCTGTCTTACATTATCACAGGTAAATCATGCCATGTTCTTTGCCTCTGCAGAATCACGGAATTGACATAGGTGATATCTCTGAGAGGAAAAAACTCAGGGAAAGGTTGAACTGTAAACCTTTCAAATGGTACCTGGAAAATGTCTATCCCAAGTTGGACCCCTGGGACAACCTACTTGCCTATGGAGGAGTAAGTTTTATCTAGTGCTTTATGTGTGTGGTAGAGGAAGTACCGCAGGGTGTGTGCAACATGCATTACCACATTTTATTGGGTGTTTTAATGACTCATAATGATGATGATAATAATAATAATAATAATGACTTTAATGACCTGCCCTAGTGACTGATACTGTTTCACTAGGTTTGACACAGTGATTTATCTTTCACTTACAGATGAAGAATCTCAATGCTAGCATGTGCATAGACCAAGGCCCAGTGCCCGGTCACACACCCATCGCTTACAATTGTTACTACTATGGACCTCAAGTAAGTAAAGCAGCTAAATGCAGTTATAAATGAATGATTATAGTCTCTGAAAAGTTACCAGCCGTAATCAGAAATATAGTCTGTTTGTCATTGTAGGCTTGTTTCACTGGCCAATCTGCTTGCTGAACTTTTATTATTTTTAGATGACTTATTACCGCGCAACTGGAGAACTCTACATCGGCGGCATCAAGTCCCACAAGTACAATGACAACCGGTGTTTGACTGACATCGGCAAAAAAGAAACTGAGCCTGGCCTTTACAACTGCAAAGAGGCTATGCAGAAAGGAATGGGGATTTACTGGGACTTCACTCAGGTATGACAAGATAAACTATCACGAAAACAAGTACATGAAAGTCTGGGAAGAGATGTGGCTGGTCAGTAAAGGTCAGTGGGTCTCACCCTTAAATTATGGGGTGATTTGTAGCTTAAAAATATTGACTGTGGATGTCTTCATATTATATGATGGAATACTGTGCATCAGCATTCTTGACACTTATGTCTTTTTTAGGGCAAAGAACTGAAGAACAAAGAGACGAAAAGATGTCTGGAGATTAAAAACAGCAAACTTATAATACAAGAATGCTCTGGCCAAAGATGGGAAATCCAAAACATAATCAAACCCTTTTGAGTGTGTGTGCATGTGCGAACAACAAGAAGATCGATCGATCGATAGATCGATACTTTATTGTCATTGCACATAAAATACAACGAGATGCAGTTCAAAGCCAACCATTGAATTTAGCAGCTTCTAAACAACATGTAGTCAATAAAAATGTTGCATTATTTTTTAAAATAATATATTCAATTATTTAGTAATAAATAGGAGTGATAAGAGCATTGATAAAGAACTGAACCAATAAGGATTACCAATACAAGTGTGTCAATAAAATCCTAATGATCCCAACTCGTGAGAAAATGTCTGGCCCATCTCTGTGTCCTGGTTTTAAAATCCAGCCCAATCGAATCTGTAATTGAATAGCCCTGGTCTACAGTGATCATAGTAATATATCTTCCTTGCGACAAAATGTACATTAAACTGAATGCAGCATTGTAGACAATATTTTCTCCTTGTAATCCATGTTTCCATTGCATGGATAGGCTTTGGATATCGCTGTCCACCTTCTTAAAGGGTAAATTATTATCATAACAATTTAATAATGCATTGCATTTAAACAACACTTTTCATACACAAAAAGTGGTAACAGTAGCCTACTGGTCCTACCAGGCTGGACATGCAGTCCACCAAAATATGTATCCCCTTTATAAAGCACAGATGATGGCCTACTATCAAGTATTTTTTGGGGGGTATATTTCACATCAGGACTAATAACAGGTGAATATGGTGGCGTTTCTTGTTTCCTAACAAAAGTTATAGTGGGATACAAAATACAAACTGGGATCCAGAGAATGTCTAGTACACTAGAGCTTAAACTGTTCATTAAGCCTTACAAAGAAGTGTTGCATCAAAGAATGTACTGTAACTTGAGTTAAAGTTAACAGGAATGGGGTTTTCTGTATAATGTTATTTAATAAAACTATAACTAAGTTAATGAAAATATCCTGTTACTGAAACAAATAACTGTAAGTTTGTGAAACATACTAAAACATTACATTATATACTAAACAAGACATTTTGAAAGCTTGAACATTGTCTTTGTCTCTTTTGTCCCGGATTGAATGTGGCCCTCTGACAAAACAACTGGCCCCGACCTGGCCCCCTTAAAAAAATTGGTAAAGAACCGCTACTGATACTACAGATGTAACTGTGAATCAGTTGTTTAATTCAAACATCTTAAAATTACATTGCAAAAAAATGTTGAATTGAGGGTAACTGGACTTGGCTGAAGAAGCTTGAAGATTTTTCACCTCTCATCCATCTCTATTCTGGTGTAAATATCCTCCTTCACTCCTCTTTCAAACCATCTCTCTTCCCTATCCAAATACAGCAATGAAATTTTTTCTCCTTGTCTTTACATCTTGTGTGAAAGATGAGGATATCAATAACAACAATATGGCTTTTTTGGAGTGTGGCATACTCATTAAAAGAGGGCAGGAACCTCTACATTGGAGTATAGGGGAAACCCACACACACAGACCAGTACTTACTTATTGGACAAACTCCACATCCCTGTGTTTTTCAAACCCAGCAACACACTAAGATAGAAATTGGTCCACCTGAAAGACCCCACCCCCAAACACAAGAAAAGCAACATAGTGTATGCTGTCCAATGCAGTGAGGAATGCACAGATTTGTGTTTTGGGGAAACCAAACAACCATCAATCAAACGCATGATCATGGCTCAACACATGAAGGATAACTCCTCAGTTCAAGACTCAGCAATTTACCTAAACCTGGAGGAAAAAGAGCCACTTTTGAAGACAATAACTACATATTTTGGATAGAGGGGGCAGATAGCCTGAAAGAGTGAAGGAGGCTATCTATTTCAAAGTAGAGAAACCATCTGTCAAGAAAGGAGGATGTCTACCAAAGTTATCCCCTACATATGATGTTGTCCTTCATCTCTTTGCCAGGAGATTGTTTGAGTGAAAATTCCAAAGAAAGTTGTTTACCCTTGGCCTCAGTCCAATTGCCCTCGATTAATGCTTCTTGGGTAAGAAAAGTATATTTTCATATACAGTGTGATGGAAATTATATGTTAGACTCAATGATGTGATAAATTCCAGGACAACACACAAAAGCATGTACCTTCCCGTCAACCCTGTTACCACAGGGTGACGAAAAATATTATTGCCAGCCACTACTAGCCTTGTGGTAAATGTCTTGACACCACATGGCGTGCATTCATTCTGCTTTCCAACACATCCACCCGTGCCATGGTGTGCACTCATTGGATTTCAGTTGTATTAGTACGACAATAAAGCCTTACACTGAAAAGGTATTTGCCTGATTGTGTGACTCTGACAAGTGCCAGAGATCGGGGCTCGTCTGCATAACTGCACACAGCCTGGATGACAGCTCATTTCGGTTAATGAAGCAAAATGCAGATTAGGCATGTCATGTATAATGGCTGTTAATATATTGTAGTTTGTGTTGTCGATATGTGTGATGTGTGTGATGTAGAGGAAGTGGTAGACTGATATATAAGGTAACATTATTCATATATTTTTCAGAGCAAGATAAATCGGACAGGGAAATCATGGTTGCTCTGTGGTAGGCTAAACGTAACTTAAACAATCGTACAGTTCAGGCCTTGTTACTTTTGTTGCTGTTGGGTGAATATCAGGTTTGTTATAAATGTTCTAAAAGGCATTTTTAGTCTCTACATAATTGTGTGCTGGGTCATCTGTTACAGAAGTAGCCTCCATGCAGATTTGGCAGTAAGGCAAACACAAAGTATAAGGTGAAGGGAAGGTCGGCCTAAATGAAGTCAAGTCAATGAAGGTTTAAAAGCAGAGAATTGATAAAATATTAAAAAGTTCATAGTGTGCTTTCCTGAAGAGGTGCAGAGGTGTGACTAGTGTTCACTGGATGTCATCCATATATTGTGTAGAACTGGAGCTTTTGTATGTGTTTATATAAGAATTATAATAAATTAAGTTATTTCTTTGCAGTAATTGCAGTACAAGCAATATTTTAGTGGTTTCAGGTAATGGTGAGGTTACCCTAACTCTGGGACATCTCATCTGGCCAGATGATAATGGGTAACAACACTGTTGACACAATGTACAGATAACCTGCAACTAGTGTTGTATTACTCAAGACTGGTCTTAAGACCACATTTTAATGGCCTCATCTCAGACTCGAACATAGAGGACTCTGGATTTTATTTCAAGACCAGTCAAGACCACAACTTTTGGAATATCAATAAATTGCTTTTGCATTGTCTGATTTATTTGTTAACATCCTAACTTTGACTGGATGTAAAACTTATTGCGTCAAATGCAACCAATAACGCTAATTAAAAATGTGTTGTTATCGTTAATGGCTGTCACCCCACCCACCCCTAAATTTCCTAATTTGAATAAAACTTAAGATGACATTTTTCAGAACCACTCTCTTGCATCAAAATCTGTTAACATACTGAATCAGCAATGGAAAGGTTGCGGCATGGTAGGTGATCACACACATTTTGGGACCTCTGTATTGTCATGACCTGCTGGGTACTAGAGATGAAAATTATAGCTTTCTGGCTAAATCTGACATTTTCACTACAACGTTAACTAATATGCTCTGTCCCTTTTAAATAAATAGATAACATTCATAAACGCTATTTGTTCAATCATAGGGCTGAAGTTTAGGTTATTGCAGAGTTTGTCATTCTTATCACTGACTACAGGGATACCATTAACTTTGGATAGTTCACATAGCCTAATAAACAGATTAGTTCAAGTTCATTCTTAAGCCTGAGACAGTAGAAAATTCCTCAACACATCTAGTTGCTTTGATCCTTTCCTCTCTCAAAAAAAAAGTTTCATTCAATGTATCAATTGCTAGTTGAGATTTAATTAAAATGGTCACTATACTTTGGAACCATAGACTGTATAAAAACTTGAAACTGTACCTTTTTTGTACAGCCACAATTTGTGTGACAACAAAAAGGGGCCTTCCCCCACAGACTGTGACCACTGAATTGGCTACAACCATAGAGACTACGACCCCTGCTGGGTTTCTCGATTTTTTGGGGAGGGACGTCTGGTCACCCTACTATGCAGTTTATAATTTAATTTATAAAGCTTCAAACTGTTTAAGCATGTTTGGATGACAATGACAATCTATGACACTCCGACACATATTTGTGTTGTGGAGATGACATAACTGTGGTTGTGATTTGGCGCTCTATAAATAAAATTGAATTGAATTTGTAGCACCGTCCATCTTGTTTCCAAATTCCACTTAAAAGCACTTGAACAAATTCGGGAAATGGGACGATCCGAGGTGACTGCAGCATTTCGCTACAAGGTACAACAAACCTGTTCATGTAAAAATATTTCGAAGCGGCAGCTTTTCTTAAATGTTGCTAATAGTTATATTATTCAAAGCTTCATATTTAACCTCCTTTTAGTGCCAGGCAGGGCGGAATAACCCGGAAAGGACCGACATTCTACGAAGGCTCGGGACACTGGTATCCAAGCAACCAGTGTGTTTCTCAGCAGTTTCCGTTTAACGCCACACTTACGGTAATGTAACAACTTTTCTGTCAAAATGTATAATGTGGAATTACTCTCAGACCGCATTGCTAGGACAAGTCTACAGAGGCGTCGCAACAAAGAGGCTGAAAGACAAGAAAGGATTTTTAATGACAAAGTGAGGACGATTGGGGTAAGTGTACAAACGGTTAACTGACGCAGTGGACGCTAATGCATACAGTAAGTTAGCTTTAAAAACAGGCTTTTGCTGACACGACCGTGCTGTTTTTGTATTAGGTTGACAAGGAAGCACTGGACATGCAAGTGAAGGAAAAGAAGGAACGAGAAGCGGCAGAAAAAGACAAACAAAACGCACAAGGTGAGTTAATTGTCGTTCCCTAATGTTAACTGACTTCAATTGTGTTTATCAAACAGCGCTAAGACAATGCATCAAAAAATTTGCTTATAGCAGTTAACAGAAGTAAACAAAAAAGTACATCACCAACTGAAAGAAACAGCATAAAATGACACCTGGATGAGGTCCTACCATTATTGCCACTATGTCGCATATTATGATACCAAATTCAAAATTTCAGTCTGTGTGTGATGTGATCCCCATCTAGATGCTGATGTGCTCCACAATAGCAAAGTAGCTTGCCTTCTGCATAGCAGACAAGTGAAGGAGAAGCATGCAATGGAAAAGGCCATTGTCAGCTACAGGCATCAGTGCCAGCCGCCTTGGAGCCAGCGGGAATTTGACCTGAATGACCCAGACCGCTGTAGGAAAACAGACCTAGGTGATGCAGAGATGATGCTCCCTGGCCTGGTGGGCGAGGACCCGGACAGTAAAAGCAGAAAGCAGAGACAGAGGGAGCAGCTCAGAGAGTGGCTCCTCCAGCAGCAGAGTGAGCAAGCAGCAGAAAGGCATCAGCGAAAAGTGGAAGGTCAGTTTGTCTGGATCCCATACTGGATGCACAAGTTCACACACGAAACACAGGCTCACTTCATCTTCTGTGCTGTTCTTCAGAGCAGCGCTATGACCAAAGCAGAGTGGAAATGGACAACAAAGCTCTGCAGCTTCAGAGCCTTGACACAGAGAAGAGAAAAGCAGCAGTTATTGCCACTAAAGAGTACAATCTGGCCAAGGTAAGTCATCCTGGTGTTCCCCTAGACTGTCAGACAAAGGTAGTTAAAACTTGTTTTGAAAACATGGTTGTATAACTTGTAATGATGTAATCCTTAAAGCAACAAAGGAGCATTAAAGCTTGGAAAGACACCCTGAGATGCATAGTCGAATGTACCTTGAATGGCATTTAATAAGAGCAGCAAGAGATATTTTGAATAATTTTAGACATTAAAATTGAGTTTGACATAAACACAACTATGAGGTGCAGTAATGACACTTTCTATCACTCAACTTTTTTCTGGGTCTGGATGGGCAGATTGAAACAAAGCGGCGCCACTGCCAGGTAGAGGAACGTAATGACGAGGGTAATCGAGAAGATACCATGAATCACCTCCTGACAGGTGTAGATGCTGAACCCACCCTGAGCGTGGTGGGGGTGCCTGGTCTTTGTCCCAGCAGTGATATGAGAGCCCCTCCAGAAAGCCAGCAGCAGATCATTCAGTTCCAGAAATATCAAATAGAGGAGAAAAAGGTAAAACAGGAACAAATGACACATATGAAACATATGCACTTTTTGATCATTTGCAACGCAGTCCATGGGAAGGTGCTTACTGATCCCGCGTCTGTCTGTTTTGTCTGTAGAAGATGGAATTAGAGAAAAAGCAAGAAGAGCAGCAACACGATCGCATCCGCTTGGACTCGGCTCGCACAGCTCTGTTAATGGAGAGGCAGCAGGCGAGACTGAACAAGCAGCTGAGACGACACCTGGACAGCACCAACGTCAAACTAGCCGAAACACACAAACAACAGTCAGTAACATTAAGAATGAGATTTTTTCATTCAGGTCTATGCCTTGATAAAAACTATGTTCTCACTCTGTTTCTAAACTGGTGTCATTTTAAGGAAACCAGACATTGAAAGAGGGTGCATTGACGACAGCTTCTTCTCCAAATTCAACACCTGCAGCAGATGATGGACGACGCGCTGCGCTGATGACTGGCACCTTCCAGTGGCTATGCACTGGTATTGGTGCTACATGAGAAGAACACTTGATAAACTCAACCACACAGTGAATCAGCACTTGTCCTTTAATGTAGTACACAACATTTACATGTCTGGATGACGCTGACAATTGTTCATATGAATCTTGGCTATTGCTTAAAAGGCAGAAATTACATACTTTCTTTTGTTTCTTATTTTTCATAGATCACAATGCCTAAATGAGCAAAGGTTAACTCTGCCTTCTTACATATTTATGACAACAAAACATCTGAAAAATTACTTTCAAGTAAGGACTATAAAGCGGTCTACTACGGCCTTCTTCCATTTTAACTAACTACCTGTAACACTCTTACAAAGCACAAACACACTACAAAGAGAAATTGAACAACTATGTCTGGAACTGTTACTTACTCCAAAACACTGGTAAACCTGAATCTTAAAGTGCAAATACATACAAAATCCTTAATAAAACTAGAAATTACAATGTGCTTTTGACTGAAGCTGTTTCTTATGTGTAGTTCAAGTAATCGCCCTGTTTTTATGGGCCATGGCTCAGACCTGTTTCACTTTGAGGCAACATGAAACAAGGACTTTTTCACAGCAGATAGAACTTGGTTCTATCTGCAGTTCTCTCATTTATAATGTACCTATGCTTAAAGGCGTCCCCTTCTCAAAGGATGCGTGAAAGCATTTAAAGATTGCCCTGCTGGTTTCTTTCTAAAGAGCATTTTCAGAGACAAACTTATCCCAACTTCTCTTCCACAGAGCCAGGGCTTTCTCCTGTTGTTTTGGAGTCAAAGAACTATACCTGGAAAACAGACAGGGAAATATCCATGAGCCGTCTGCTGAAGCGTGTGAGCACTCACACACAATTAATTTGTACATCTCATCTCCGCTGAACCTCACCTAATGGAGTTTATGGCCAGCTCTTTGATGGAGCCTATATGCGATCTAATCCCACCAAAACCCACAAAAGCTTCATAGAAGTCATAAGTGAGTCCAGAGGCACCGAACATGGCAGGGTCATCAGAACTGATGACCACTGGGTGGTTCTCTGATATCAGTGCAGCTGCCGGATGGTTTCGCATATCATTAACAAGCTTCAACACCTGAGTGACGAGAGGAAAGGTGTGCGACGTGTAAGATCAATTCAATTACAGCCTTGTTGTTTCATAGGATTTTAAGTATTACACTCTAGTAGCTGGAAAACACAAGTATTTTGTATTTTGAATGAGCGTGTACCTGGTTGGAGATGGGGCACACTTCCACAGCCACCCCTCTCTTCTTAGACAGACCTTTGGCCACTGGGTGACGAAGCAGAGCAAATCCGTGGCCAATACGAGAAGTGTTAAACAAAAGAGCATCCAACAAGTTCTGGTCCACCTCCGTGCCCTCAAGATCTACATGCATTAGAGAGAAATCAAAATGCATGTTATTTTGGGATGCTTTTCACTGAATGTGTGATGGTTCTTAACTGACTGATATTTCCTCTCCCTGAATTCCACTGTTGGTTTCATTTCTTTGGTTTTGCACCAATTTGGAATATGACAAATCGGCAGAATAGGAAAAAAATCATACAATGAATGCTCTGACAGACATGATACATTTTATTTGCTTTAGCACTTTAACATTGTCAGCAGTGTGAACAGGCATGCACTGCTTTGTTCGCCAAACTACAATGTGTGTACTGGTTAAAACATTAAAAACACCTGTCCTTCCCTAAGAACTCTTTGACAAAGGAATGTTTTGACATTTATCTTTGGCGACATGCTGTAGGTTTAACGGGTTTAACAGGTCCCCCCCCAAAATAACCACAACATTCCTTTAGTAGCCTGTTTGTGTTAAGAATTTACAAATTAGTTTACACACTACACGTTATTGTTGTACTCGGAATCTTATAGTATTTTGCACGCAAGGCATGAGCATCTGGACAGCTTCTTATTTCACACACATTTATCTGGACAAAGATGAATATCTCTACACGTCATCTGTTTTACAGAATGTATGGATTTACCTCTGAGTCATATACAGGAGAATGTAATGTGTGATGCTGTAGCTGTACATACAGGTAGGATTTAGACATCAGGTACTGATGAGCTCACCAGTCTCCCCCGCATGGAAGAAGAAGGGGAGCATCACCCCTCTCTCTTCTGGCAGCGACAAGGCATCTCTGAAGTACCACAGGGGTTTGCCTCTGTCCTCGCGGCCTACCTGTACGTGTAGAGAGAAAGTAAACACGCATGTTTTCTTTCACTGTGTCAAAACAGTTACATCAGTTCTATTGAAACTTACATTTTTACACTGCACATTTTAAGTAAAAGAAAAAAAAAAAAATCGGAATGAACGAATGGTTCCCCCTGTCACGTCTACTGGTGCTCAGCTCCATTCATACAGTAACTGCTGTTGTCGCTCACCAGGTCAAAACCAGCCATGATATCTGGGAAGTTCCTGTGTAGCTTCATAGCCTCCTCCACAGCTCCGGTCATCGTGGACGTATTTACTCCCCTGAAACATGTAATGTTGAAGTGTGATCAATGTATATACACAACAACCTCTCATGTCTTCTAGCCAATAAGCAGTAAGCATTTCCTACTAATAAGTAAAAATCCATTGCGAGGGTGCTCACCTATGGACTGTGAAGATGATTCTTGTTCCAAAGAAGTCTGGGTGCTCTGCTGTGAACTGTCTGGTGACCTCTTGGTAGGTCTTTAGAGTCCAGGCTGTGCCATGAGTGCTGCCGTCCAACTCGTATATCTGAGTCCCCCCCCACACACAAAAAAAACAACAACAAATGAATAATAATGATAAATGAACAGACAAGTGAATGAACACTCCAGGCATGACGTGAGTGTACCTCTGGGAGTAAAGCCCGCAGTTCCAGATACATGACGTTGTCCATGTAGAACTGGGTCAGGCCTTGGTAGAAATAGTCTCTGAACACAGGAGCGTATGTGACCAGACCCCATACTGCAAGGAAGGCCTGTTCAAACCTATCCCATACCACATCCTGACTGGGGTACACCGTTTCTGGATCCTGATCCGTGAACAGCGTCAGGTTGCCCATGATGCTGAGAGTGTAAATATGAAGACATAGTTGTGATCAGATTATCTGTGTCAGTGTGGGTCCGTTTATCACTTTCGACAACGTCTATTTCTCAAGATTTCTGTGTAGAAGACCTTGAATATTCTGGAAAACCGCTACTTTCTTCAAAAACAGCGCATCTGCAGTGGTGAACTCACGCTGCATTTGTGGGTTTAACCTATTACACCAAGTACAACCAATAAAGTAATTAAGAACTTTTTTAACAATCTAACCTTCAAATCAAACTGCCCTTCTCTTCATAATTAATAGCCCACTTAAGATTTAAAGAGCCCTCTTTTTGATGTCCTGCCCCAACATCTTGATTCAAAAGGAAATACAGCACATCACTTTAAAATGGACAGTAAGCGATTGTAATCTAACACTGTTAAATTCAGCAAATATTTCCTCATGGTCTGCTAGCTCTGTTTTGTGTGTGTTATTAAAAAATCTGCTTTTCCTACACAGCCATGGCTGTGTAAATAGAAAACAAAGAAAGTGATGTGGACCTTGCCACACAACATTGTTCCAGCCAACCAGCAACAGGTGGCATTAGTGCTCGTGGAGTGATGGTGGGAGGGGGGCAGTGGGAGAGAGAGTTGTATACGCTAGGCTCCAGGCACAGTGAAGAAGGGGAGATGGCCGAGAAACAGCCAAAGAGGAAAAGGTCTGAAGAGTATAAACAGAGAAGTAAGTTGTATGACTAGGTAAGTTGCGAAGGCGTTTCAACAAGGAAGAAACCTCAGGGATTTGAAATCTGGGGGGCGGAGCTTCTGGGAGAGCACTGAAGGGAGGGGTGTATTTGTTTGGCTGGTGAGTTCAAATACTGTATCAACAATCCTTCCTTCTGGGAGAGCACTGAAGGGAGGGGTGTATTTGTTTGGCTGGTGAGTTCAAATACTGTGTCAACAATCCTTCCGCAAAATCACTTACTCTCCCTGTAAGAAAGTAACGGTATTTTATGATCAACCTACCTCCAAATTGGTAAAACTATTATAATATATAAGTATTTTTGGAGTCATTAAAACATTATTTCCTATTAGATGCTTCCACTTTTCACTGTGGAAACTGACAGTAGAAGCAGAGTGAACTGACCGAAAGCCACTAAATTCTGGCAACAAGGTATGGATAGAACAAAAGCGATAAATGTTATGAAGGTCTCTGTAGCAGGAAATGACTTCTCCATAAAGGTAAATAAAATCCACTCTCTGATATCTCTAACTGCTTACTTTAAGTTAGAAGTCATTGGCACAAACTTTAAAGAAAACACTGGTAATGCCATGTGCCATGTACATTTCACAGTACAATAGCTTATGCTGTTATGACGTGGGCAGAAGACAAACATAGGAGAACATGCACAGAACTTCCTATACTTCAGTGTTTTATTAGGAGCCCAGTTATTTACCACTCTACGATACTCTTTGAGTAAAATATTTACTCCATAAACTGCATTTGAAGGCAAGTCACCTGTTGTCCAGATCTGTGGTGTTGACCATCTTGGCCCTGAGGTTTTCCAGCAGGACCCAGGAAGAGCAATGTGGCAGACCTTTCGGCCATCGGGACGAGAAGATGAATCTGATGGACTGGTTGTCAGTGAAGCACATGTAGCAGTGGGGCCGATATGTCACATTCCTCACGAGCCACTCCACATCTACCATGGAGAAGTCGTGGACGTGGAGAGCTCCCGCTGAAACAGCACGTTTCAGAATTAGACAGAAATAAAGAACTGGGATACTTTATACAAATCTCATTCTGTGTTCATTAAAATGATTCCCTGTAAAGAGAAATCCAAATGTTGTGATTTTCCAGCATCTTTTGAGAACATCATGAAGGGGGAAACCTGCACCAGCATGACTGTCCTCTGCACAACCACGATTAGGGCTGCATCTAATGATTTGTTTCTTAATCTGCCAGGAACTGGCTCAATTAACTGACTCATTGTTTAGCCTATAAAACGTCAAGCAATAGTAAAAAACGTACACCCCAGCGTCCAAGGTGACATCTTCAAATGTCTTTTTTGTTTGACCAACAGTACCCAACCCAATGATGATCAGTTTTCAATGATTAGCTAATCAGATATTAGCTGGTCATAGCATTAGATATAGCTAGGGATTAATTCATTATTAAAACAGTTGATGATTATTTTTTGACAATCAACATATCGATTTATTACTAGGAGTATTCTTTCATTTTAAAAAAATGGATTTTTGATTGATAAATAAGCCACCAAATCTAGACAGATTATCATTATTTTTGTAGGTGATGCCGAGAATTTTCATGAACAGGTTATTGTGTTAAAATCAAGTCCAGCTGTGTTATTATATCTATATTATACATATCTATGGCTGCTAAAACGTAAAGGCCATAGGTTTTCATCTGCACTTCAAAAAGCGACCAGTTATAACAAACAGCTCACTGCCAAATAACGCTGACTGATGTGTATAAACTAGAGTTTAAAGTCTATAAAGTAACCTTTAGGCATCTTCTGGAGCAGGCCGAAGATGGGACTGGTCCTGATAAGGGGCCTGGCCTTGAAGAAGTGCATGGCGGGAGGAAAGTCTGCTCTCACTACCTCCTCCTGCTTCATTTTAAACAGAAGAGCGTCCAGCCGCTGCTCAGCATCAGTCAACACCGTCTGCCCACCGGTCTGCATGGAGGACTCCAGCTGTATAAGGGCTTCTCTCTGCCTGGGGTCTGGTATGGACAGGCCACAGGTCAAGTAGTGCAAGAGCAGACAGGCCACAGCCGCGTGGGGGCGCTGTAGCACGGCTGCCATGGTCCAGAGCGAGGAGCTGGCTTTGAGAGAGAACAGGGGTTGAAACAGACCATAAACTACACTAGCTGTGATAAAAATAAATATAAAACCTTCAACCTCAAACATTAGATGTGTTAACATCAGACATGTTAACTACCAAGTGAAAAGAACAGCATTGTTAACGTTAAGTAGCGTTGCAAGTTAATGACTCGTGACACAAAGAGGAGGTGAACGAACAATTAATTACTGTATTCATTTCAGAAAAGCCCTTTTTTGACTTATTTTGGTTTTAACATGATAAACAGACACTGACGCGCAAACCAGTAAAAGTAAGGTTACCATACTTTAATCTTAGCTGTGTAAATTATACTCTTATCTTGCGATGCTAGCTTAGCTGGTGCCTCGACAATTGACGACGATTTTGTAAACAGTCCAGTTGAGAGTCACTTTGAAAACGGACCACGGCGAAAACTGGTGCAGAAACATGCTGGAAGTAACGTTGAGTTGTAAATGGTTTGTGAAATTGCTTGCTTACTGTGTTAAGGCACTGTCAAGAGAATAAAGAAGCTACCAAATAAACAGCGCTAATGCTAATATGAGGGTCCCCGTCAATTCAATGGGTGTTTTTTCCCTGCGATAGGCCTGCCAGGCAAACCTCTCAGAATACTTGTGAGTCCCGCCTATGTATATAAGAAGGTCCCGTCCCGCCCCCGTCCTGCTAGCCCAGATAACCATTTGATTGCAAATAGCAATAAGACAAATAAGAGATATTAGGGAATACATATCCAATTTCTCTATGTTGGACCATGCCGGTTGTTTTGTTTTTATGGTGCACTTTGCATCACAATTAGGCTACATGTTCATCATATTATGCAAACCATAAAAATCCTGAGCTTTTTAAACAAACAAACAAACATGCAAATGGAAAATAGATTTGTGGCATCATGCATAATACATTTATTGACAAAATAATGTTAATTAAGCATTGTTCTTTTTGAGACATGCACACGTTTAACAAGATATTATTAAGATAAAGAATTATCCATGAGGTGTAAAACAGGACAAATACATGTCTTCATCCGGTCACAGAAAGATGAGGCTCTTTGATACAAAGTGAAGTGACACTGCCTGAACTGGATAGCCAGTAGGTGATTTTATGTCCAAGACTATTTATATATTTGTATATTATAATTATTAAGTCAAGAATTTGGCTAGGCCTACATGATAATCCTGCCGTCCTAATATAAAGCAGCCATACAGAAGGTCTCTCTTACTCTCTCCTGTAGAGGAGCACAACAGCAGATGGAGGGAAGGAGAAAGTGCAGCAGCAGCAGCAGCATGACAGAGGCTGTTCAGAATTAAACAGAGCTGTTTGCTCTTCTCAGTTGTTATTTTTCCCAATAAAACAATTAAAATTGTTTATTTTTAAAATAAAATGTAACAATTATACAGTTTAGTATATGCCCCTAAATCTGGGATGAAAAGAGAAACAAAAGAAAAACCCTCACGTACGCTGATAGTCTCTGTACTCCACATACTCTACAGGTTCTCATTCCTGTCTAGGTGAACAACAGAACACGTGTGTTTTCATCCAGTCTCAGTTTATATATTTCTTTCTAAACACAATGTGTTGTTTTAAACAGGAAAACTGTGATTCCTATTCAACGATCTGTTCATGAAAGGACAAATATTAAACCAAATTATTAAATGCTTATGTCAAGTATGATATTGTAGCCTATACAAGCTATATCTTATAAGTATATCATTATTTGTTAATTTGCCAATATTAATTTTTGAGCCCAATTCAATTATTACTTATTAACCTTATTTCATAGTGGTGAGTTACATTCTTTCTTTCTAGTAGAATTTAGTAGACATATGTCCCTACCATCATCCAGCAACTACTAAATTGTTCCTAGCAATAGTTTTGAAAACAATTCATCAGCATCTAGTCAGTGTATTTAGACACAAATGGTTAACGGTTTGTTTTTTTTAAGAAGCTCATGTCCCCCCCTCTTACATGTCTCACAGTGGTTTGGTCCGCTGCCTACCTTTTTCAAACCCTCAGCAACTTTATTTCTCCCCTGTGAGATGTCTGTACTGTCCCCACCAACAGTAAAATATATATAAATATCCGTACTTGTAAATGTTAGGTCTGAAAAATAATAAAATAATTCATTTTTTTTTTTTAAATGGAATATTTTTAGATGAAACAATTCAGTGTTCAGTCAGTGGTTTTCATTTGGTAGAAGGAATGAACACTTGGACGAGTATGAAAATGAAACCTTCCGATAAACATTTCCCATACATGGAAACTAAAAAAGTTTCTTTTTGGTTTGATTTTATTTTACTTTATTATTCTTTATAAAATATAAACATTTTGTCATTATCCTTCCTCCACACAGGTAAGATTCTTACAGGTAAGGGACATGAAATAAAAGCTTCAAAAAAACATTTAATGTTTTTATTAGTACATGCTTTTTACTTTTAAGCTGTTTATTTACCGATACATCATCTTGTTTTCCCACTTTCAAAATTTAGTTATACAACTGGCTTACTTAGACTCAATTAAAGTGCCTTAATTACATGCCTCATCTGCATTTCCCACTGCCAAGTTTATCCTCATTAGGCCTGAACAAAAGAATGTATTACTTGTAAGCTTACAAGGAGCCCTTTGAAGGAAGCCCAAGGAGCCTCGTTGCTTCCTCTCACACTGACGTCACATCACATCACCGACTCCTGTAGACATGAGAAGGGTCAAATGAAGCAGCATACAATCTGTGGAGGGTGTTCATCAAGAGGGTGAGCACTAATTGAAGGCGATGGTGTGAGGCGCTCCAATTGATTAATGCACAGTCTTTTATTGGCTCTCTTGTTCTGTCTGTTTGCATTACTTTTGGCTTTTCAGTCTCTTCAATGAATAGATACATGCTTCAATTCTAAGCAAAGGCACGTCCTTGTCTATTAATTCACAGCAGTGTTAAATAAAGAGTGACAATCAAACGGAAGAAAAATCCACAGATCTATTGTTATAATGATTTGATCTAGTAATGAAAGGTAGATTAAAAAAAAACCTAGAAAAAAAATAGATGATAAAACTAATTCTAGTTCGAGAAAGTTATTTATTTCTAAGAAATGTACAGTATAGAAAATACTCCATTCCATTTCCAAAATAATCTATGTCAGTCAGATAAGAACTTGTAAATGTCACTTAAAAATTAAACGTACAGGTCTTTTTTTTTCTTCTTTTTTTTTTTTTCCCAATGCCACCATGCTACTGAGGTAAAAGACAACTGCTTAAAAACAACAAAAATGACATCGAGAAAAAAAGAAACATACACCACATTTATATTAAAACAAGTCCAAAAATTTACAAAAATGTCTTAAAAGAGCAAATAAATATGATTCACATTTACATCTAAATGGTTTTCACTAGTGCAGAGAGATGACAGCAGAGTAAAAGTGAAAGTTGGATGCACACTTCCGATCGTCTGGTGCCAATTCTACACCCCAGAAAAACACGCACACACGCACGCGCGCACACACACACACACACACATCTGTACACCATAACACAGTATCACAACCTTTAAAATAAAAACTGTCCTTCATACATTAGACAGCGCGAGTGAACAGACTACCTCCAAAGTGGCCCTATTAGGCCCACTAAATATTGAGACAATTCTCTATTTAGACAAAATAGCAAGTTATCCATGACGAGTCTTGTGTGACACATTTACAAAATTGTCTCACAGCTTCTAGCACTTACCTATTCCATCATCTTTTCTCAAATATTCCCTTACAATGCCTTAGATACCTATTACTAAGGAACATTAATTCTGCCAAAGTCTATGCCATCTATTACAGACCCTAGGCTGGAATACTGCCTACTCTGTCTAGTTTAAACAAGCTGTAGGCAGGAAGGCATGCGATCTGTACAACTAAAAAGACCAACTTACAGACATCTGATGTAATATTGTCCATCATACTCAAAAGATGACATTAAAAAAACAAAAAAAACAAACTGAGAATGAAAGTGCTGTCCCATTTAAAAACATATTGTACACTTTCATAGATTTGCTTCCTTTACAGGACTTCTGTCACTGTCACATGTCCGCATCTTGTTGAGTCGGTTGGTCGGTCAGCAGCATCATTTGACACAGCAACCTGATAAATATGATTTTCTCCCAAGGTAAGGTATTTTAAGGCCATTATAATATCAGTTCTGTAAGCCTAAAAAACTAAAAGGGGTGCTAAAATCATCACTTGGTCATAAAATGTTGACCACCAGGAGTCTGGCAGAGCAGGAGAGGAAGTGGAGCGACTCTGTAGATACCACTTAATGGCTAGATGAGGTAGATTGTGATCTTAATTGTGATGACAAACGGTCTGGCATCAGATCAACAGAATGTAGAGTAACTCAAATTTTGATCAATCTCACTTCCATCAACTTAAAAAGGACACGGTTTTGTCCAATAGGTTGGCAGTGTGCTAAGCAAAATATTAAGGACAATGAATACAGACCCTTAAAAAAGTTAAGTTCTTCACATGAGGTGGGCCAACTTGCCACAGCCCCATTTTCTTTAAGCTGCTCCACCTTCAAACAACGCAAAATAAAATACCCGTATATAGAAACTGTACACCCTGAGGAAACCTTTAGTATTGACATGTGGAAGAGAGGACGCACTCAAAGAAGCAACTATGCAAAAAGGACAGAGCTGTGAAAGAACAAAGAACTAAAGCTACAAACTCGTAAGTGGAATGCAACATATTAACACATGTTAAAAAAACAACAGCAGGATGTTTGTTCTGTGTATGTGCATATACCAGCTCAAAGGACATGTCACCGTATAAGAATTTTAGAATTCCATCATCTGGGACAAGAGGTAAGGATATAAGTTTCATACATATATGCGTTTGACTAAAAAATACAAAACAGACAAGACCACTCACATCCAGGATGTCTAGACTAACAAAAATCCATAGTGCATAACAGAGAGTTAGGTACAGGTTACAAAATGAGCCGTCTTTGCCGATCACTCTCTGCAGGTCAAAGACATTCTTAATGAAGGCCGCTTTGAAAGATGCATATACTGTGTGTTTCCTCCAGAACTAGAGAAACACTGTTAAGATTTGGGGTGGAAATGGACAGTAACTGGGCGTTTTTCAGGATGCTTCAGACAAATGATCAGTTTTCATGTCATTTCACATGCAGCTAATCTGCTGTACACACCTCATCATCTACACATTCACTCATACATTCACAAAAGGAAACCAAGGCAATTGCAAGGGGCCTGTGAGTTGACTGGGTTAGGGTGACAGACTCATAGTACCTCCATTTCAACACCTGAGATTAAAGATATGGTTGAAAATAGCAGTAAAAACAACAGTCCCACTCTGAGTCCATCACAGTCCTCCTCAGGCAGTAGATTAACAGCTCCATCAAGCTCTACTGATAACGGACAAGATAGGCAGGCTGTGTTCAATTACACCTTTAATCCATTCATATTTCAATAGTTCAAAGAGGGGAGGGCTGTCCAGTGTTCCTTGTGTTTGGCAGGTTGGCCTAGTGGTCAAAAAGGCTGCCCTTCTGCTGTAAGATCCTCGTTCAAACGTTCATTTTGGGGCAGCAACCATTCTGGTGAAGTGTCCTTGAGCAAGTCAGAGAATCCCAACCAGTCCATCAGAGCTGTTCTGCAACTGACCCTGTGCTAAAAGAGAATATTTCTCCAGGGCTCAATAACATTTCACATTATCATCATCTTAGTAATACCAGCTGCCTGGTTGGATCTTCAAGTCCAGTGGTGGGCTAAATAAAGCCAAAAGTTTTTTGTCCAGTGTAAGAAAATCAGTAAGGAATGTATTTGGAGCAAAGTGTCCCCTCGACAGTCTCTGTCAGCCCAGTCAGGATGCCCACATATTCTTCCGTTTGGCTCACTGCTTTGTCCAGATGTTCTTTGACAATAACATGCCTGAAAGGAGAAGAAGAATTAGTTAAACATCTACAATTTAAGCACATTCAGGACTAACACACACAACACAAATGCAGCTTGACTGCGTTGTGCCATCATTACTGTATGTTGGTCCCTTCAGAGGGACCTGCATGTTCATTTTCTTAGGAATAGATAATTATAGCACTGTAAGGAAATACATACAGAAGGATGATGAAATAGGCAGCTTCTGTGAAACAACATCTTAACATTTAGTGTTGTCTAAAAAGTTACTTTTACTCACTCTGATATGGTACTTGTCACACTTCTTGTTTACTGCTAGGGCCGCCGGGAGCAGCCATCATCTGTTGCCTATGACCACAAAACAAAACAATGTATGTTGTTGACACTCGGGTCACCTTTAGCGTCAAGGAGCTTCATAAAGGCTGAAGTTGTGAAAACTTGATAAGAAATGCCAGATTACTCCTGCCTGGGTGCAGATCTTTGAATACGCCCACTCTACAGAGTTGACCGATTCTGATCTGGCATCGTGACATGAAACGGCGGTTTCTGGGTTAAAAACGAAAATGATCCCATTTGCGCTGCAATTAGCCAATCAGTGCCACTGATGGGACTAATGCCATTGTCAAACTTGTCAAGAACTATCAAGCTGAGTGCTGGAACCAAGGAGGAGTTACAACAATGGCAACCACAAGAGTAAAAGTAAGTAGCTTGTTTTTACTTTGTGCTGCTCCGCACTTAAAGTCCTGGCTAAACCAGCATGTTGGCATGGCTACGGATCAGTGTCGACTTAAAATTACATTAGATTCAGGCGATACATTGGTCATTAGGTATCAAAATTGCTGTTGATTGTGCTCCTGTCAATCAACTCGACAATACATCATATCAGCACTGCATGGGTTGAAGAAGAAACTTACACACACGACACTGCAGGTCACAGTGTATTAGGTGGTGTCCATGAATGAGGCAGTGCAAAAAGTCTGACACGTGCGGCTAGCCTTTTTGGACACTTTGACATTGGACTTCTGTTTGGAGGTTACTGCAAGCCAATCTTTCAATACAATGTCCCTTTATATTCAAAGAAATAAATACTAGTTGGATTTATGGGTAAGTGTATAAAAAGTATACAGCTAATAAACTGAAAAAATCTGACCCGACTATAAATTACACAAAACTGAATTAATCATTTTACCCTGGGTGTATGAAGCGTTCTGGTACCAGGCCTCTCTGCTGAATCATCATGCCCTGGAAGTACCCCGCAGGCCGGGGGTGTCTGTACATCGCCATGCGTGTCTGGCCCGGGGAGTAGGGTAGCTGCTGGGGCCGCTGCAGAGCCTCCATCAGGTGTGGGTGAGGTCTTTGGGCAGCATAGTGTCCTGGATCTGGGTATGGCTGGCCAGGGAAAGGGGCTCTGTTGCCATCTTCACGGACCTGAGACATCATGTGGGGTGGGGGAACGCCGCCTTGCTGCATTCCTGGGTGCACGGCACGAGGGTCATACATGAAGCCAGACACCATGTGTGCGGCAGAGGCAGGAGGGTGTTGTCGTTGAGGTGGCTGGGTGCTACGGCGGCGGGCAGCGGCATTATGGCTGTCGAGGTCCAGGATTTCTTTAGGGCTTTCAGGGCGCTCTGAGCTCTCTGTACGAGCCTGCTTTGCTGGGCTGCCACCACTGCTGCTGCCTCCACCGGCCTGCTCCCTGCTTTCACACCTCCCCTCCTCTGGGCCTCCAGGATGTGGCCCTACTTCAGGCACAGGGCCAGGGGACACCAAACTAGCACCACTGGAGCCCTCAGAGCCCAGTGGCGACACACTGCTCTCCTTCAAATGACCATTGCTTCTGGCACTAGCTACAGGTAGGTAGGCAGTGGGTGGCATCGGTTGGCGAGGCTGATAATGGGAATGATTCCACTCCTCTGGAGGATAACCCCCTCTACTGCTGGCCTGGTTATTGCCCTGAGCTTGGGGATGGAGTTGGGGGTAGTAGTGTTGTTGCTGGTACTGATGAGGTGGGTACATGTTGGGGTGGGCCTGAGGGTGCTGTTGGCCTGGCATGTGATAGGAGTAGGCAGTCCCTCCCTGCTGGTGGTAGGTGGGGTGGTGAGCAGGACTGTGGAGCGGGTCAATGGCCTGGTTTTGATAAGGGTGGTGAGCAGACGGTGGCATGGGCCTGGTCATGTTTGTCTGGCTGTAGTGTGGATGTGGATGGTTCCCCATGCCATATGGACCCATGGCTCCATTTGCCTGGCCTTGGGAGTGAGGAGGCATGGCTGGATTAAGGGAAGGTGCTGGCCCTCTCTGAACCTGCATACCTTGGTTATTACCCACCAACTGGGTTTGATGGTGTGTGGGGCTGAAGGCCTGGTGTTTATAAATACCATTTGGAGTCCCAGATTTCATCATGGTGTGCTGTGGAGGAACGGCAGTGCCTTCTGTGTCCGGTCTACTTGTAGGCTCACTAGGTCTTTGATCTCCACGGTCTGCTGGGCTAGGCTGGGAGGGTAATAGTGGGGCAGGATGACTCGGTGGCAAAGAGGTGAGAGGGGCTGGCTGAGGGGGTCCAGACTGGACTCCTTGTGTGGCACTCTGTGGCATCCCATGCATGGAGCTGTTCTGCATAAGACGTTGTGGAGAGATGTTTTGGGGGACATGATGAGGAGGTAGCAGAGAATTGTGTTGCTGTGTGTTCTGGGTCATCTGCTGGGGAGAGCCCTGAGGGCGGCATTGAGGAGGTGTATTCCGGGCTGCCTGAGGTTGCAGCTGCTTTTGGATGTTCTGATGGGGTTCACTTTTCTGATGTGCATTCTGCATGCGTGGCACATTGTTCTCTGACATTTGCTGGGTGGGATTTGGAGATGCTGCAACATGCAGTGGTGGTACATTGTGGTGAAGAAGTGTGGGGCTCTGAGCTTTTTGCTGTGGACTGTTCTGTGCATGCTGAGGGTGGTTGGGTGGAGTGGGATTGGTGGAACTGTTGTTACTTGTGTTGAGATGGGTGGAAACAGTAGTAGCACTAATGTGTTGAATGGGACATTGGCTGCTAGATTGTCTCTGGCCATCTGTCTCCTGCATGTGGCTCTCTGTTGAACTCCCTGGGATCTCTTGCCCGGACGGATTCTCCTGTGATCTGCCTAAGTTAGGGGCTGGGGGGCTTTGCGTTTCCTCTGCTGGCCCAGTGCAGTGTCCTGTGGGGCTAGGGATGGACGGGTGCTCTTCATTAATTGGAACAGTGTCATCAGAAATGTTGGCAGCCATCTTTTTCTCTGATGTTGAGTCTGTTAACACACAGAAAGGAAGTTAGCATTAAAAGACTAATGTGAGGGAGGTTGGCATTGAATATTAATTATTATTACAAGAACAGACACACACAGTTGTGAGTACTTACATCTGTATTATGGTGAAGAATATAAAAAAAAGTCAAATAGACAAAGCAACAACCACTGTTTGTGTAATTTCATACTATTTATCCAAACCAATACAAAACTAGCAAAATTTAAAAAATTACCTATGTCCTGTTCCATTCATTTAAAGTGAGAATACTCACATTTGTACTCTTGCTAATGAGACTTAAGTGATGACATGACGACATCTCTTTTGTCCCCCTTAAAGCAACCAGCGAGACATTTCACTAAACTGATGAATATTCAATTTGCCAATTACTTTGAAAAATAATTAAAATCAAATTGCAAAAGGCACTTGCCACAGAGGAAGGGCAAGGATGGAGGCTGTGGTGGTTGACGAATTGAGACACGACAGTCTAGAAAGAACATTTCTGTAGAGAAAGGTTAAACTGTGCTTGGGTTCCTTCATGCAGAATACAAACAGCTGGTGAAATACTGAGAGAGAAGGTCAGGGCTACCTTTGGGCTGCATGTCTGTCTGTTGGGAAGGCTGGCTGTCTGGCCCATTGTCTCTAGAAGGACGCAGCAGCTGAACCTCAGGGGCAGGGGGAGGCTGCTGAGAGGGGTGAGCTGGGATGCTGCCAATTCCTGATGGGGGCCCAGGCTGCTGAAAGTTGCCCATGTGCTGATGAGGGGCACCAGCAGGGGGTCCAGAAGAGGCTGACAGCTGCTGCAGGGCCAGCATCTCTGGGCTTTGCAGCATGGAAGCCACGCGTGTCCTGCCAGAAGAGTCTGGGTGGGGAACAGGAGGACGTGAGGACATGGACCCCGGGGAGCTGACCGCTGTAGACATTTGATACTGGGCATTGGGAGGAGGTTGGGGGTATCCAGCAGCTTCTGGCCATGGTTTATGCCCCACTGGAGGGGGGACTCCACCATAACTAAAAGTGCGCTGGTTCACCATGTTGGGATCTTGCATGCGCATCCCACTGGGTCTCTCCTGGTGATTCATGCCAGTCCACATGTTGGATAGGCCCATACCAGGAGGCCTCAAGCCTGGGTAGTTGTGCTGATGTGGTCCTTCCGGCCCTGAGAATCTGTTGACCATGGGGTGCATGTTTTGGCCCTCTGGACGGTGGTGGGATGGGTACATACTGGCTTCAGGAGGAGGTCCAGGTTGGAGAGCCATGGGACGTGGGCCCAGAGACGGGCCATGAGTCGGGCCCATGTAGGGGTGCTGCTGCTGGTGTGGAGGCTGCTGGTGGTTAGGATCTGGGCCCATTTGATACCTAGGACCCATGTGATGTTGTTCAACCATGCGATGCTGGGAAAAAAGAAAAACAATTTAGGGATTTTGATCAGTATACCCATACATCAGTCTGTTTTACCAGCATCAAGATACAAATTTAACAGGCCAAATATTAGTAGACCCCACACACACACACACACACACAATAAGGTGGGACCTTTTGGTAAAAACTGTAAATTAAACATTGATATAATTACATTTAGAAAGGTGTAAGTGGGTCCGTCTACCTGCATGTTAAAGTTGTGGGGCAAGCGGTTGAAACTAGGGTCTCCATGCCTGGGAATGTGAGCTGGGTAAGCAAAGCGGGGATCCATGGCCATTCTTTGGGCGTACATGTGTGGACCATGAGGACCAAGAGGTACGGGGGGACGGTGGAGCTGTTGTGAAAATAGAGTAATAAGTTTTAAGTAAGTTTTTCTCCTACATTTCAGACAGAAATCAAGAGAAAAAAACCCAGATTAAGGTGTTCATTTAACTAGTTAAAATATTGCGAGAAATAAGTAACAAATTAAGTAAATAGGTTTTTAGAAATGTAGAGGAAGACAAGACGAGCATTATCCTGTGGATACCTGTTGCCCTGGGTGGTACATGCCCCTGATGTCTCCTTCATGGATGTGCTGCTGGCTTGGAGGCAGGCTGTAGAGGTGAGGGGGGCCATTGGCCCAGTGATGGGGGAGAGGTGGTCGTGTTGGCTTGTGGTCTTCATGCTCCGAGAGTGTACTGCCCTTGCCCCCCTGAGAGTTTCGCTTACGTTGGACTTGCTCAGTGGCCTTGATCAGACTTTCAGGTCCCAAATATTTACTGCCACGATTGCGCTTTTTGTCCTTGCGCTCCTTGTCTTCAGCATTGATGTGGAATTCCTCATCTGTGTCGCCATCCTCTGATGGGAAGTGTTTTAATAAGGCCCTGCTGAAACACCGTTCTAGAGACTCTGCCATGATGGTGTACTCTGGGGAAAAGAAGACATAATCAGCTATATGATAAAACACATTACAGTTCTTACACACAGCCACACCTTCTGCACCTCCATACACTTAAAAATACACACCTGTAGCACATCCACTCATGTACACTCAAATAATAGCTTTTTATCTGCATGTTATTCCCCTGTCAAGTCACACCCTCCCTTCCACATAAACAATTACACACACTCCCACAAACACCTCACTCCATCTCTCAGTCATTCCCTTACAATCGAACCAATATGGATGCCATGTACCCATAGACACACACTTGCTCCTCTGTTCTCAGCCAAGCGCTGGCCGACTGACCAGGTCAGAGTGCGTATGTTGACCCCCTGCTCTTCCTCATGCTCCACCCTGGGCCCCCCTTACCACTCTCCTCCCCCCTGTCCCTGGGGAGAGTATTCAGTTGGATGGATGGCTCCAGACAGGGGGCTTAGGGGCTGGAATGTTTCTCTGGCACTGCAGGGCTCAGATCCCCCTGAGCACTGGAGCACAGCTCAATCACTCCTCATTAATCACTGTCGAGGCTGCCCTGGCCCCGGCCCCAACACAGCACTAAGTCCAGCCCCCTTTCTTTCGCTCTTTCTCACACTCTCACCCCGATTCTCTCCCTAAAAATTTACATGCCCATTTCTTTAACAACATACACCAATTGGAATGGATTTTGAAGCATTAGTCTTATACTGAGGTCAAATTTTTAACAGTGAAAGCAGGATTATTAGGCTTTGTGTTTGTGCAACTGTGTTCATTTACCACTGTCTTCTCCGTTGTACTCAACACAGTTTTCAAACATGAGCTTCACGTCGGCAACAAACTCCTCCTTAGCAATGTACTCCCCATCACTGAGCTTCTTTTCAATGGTGGACAGGTCCATAGGAGTCTGAGGGGATTGGAAGAACACATAAATTAACACAGTTGAAAACCTTGAGTAATACAAGATTTGTGAGTGGATACATTAGTTAGGATGCGAACTGCACACATACAAACACAATATTACGCAAACACCATTAACTGCTATTACATGGCAGCTATCATTGTATCATCTTTTGTACCTTGATGATCTCGTGGTAATTGGGGGCATAGGAGTCATCCACGGGCTCCAAGAAAGGCCAAGCATCTTTATGGGCTTTCAAAGCCTCAAGCACTGTAGAAGAGGTCAGACATTAGAACACATGCGAACGCAGATTGAAATAAAGCCACAGCCTTGAGTAACTTCTCAGCAAGCATACCTTTGTATAACGCAGTGTAGTCGTCGTCAATATCATAGCTGAAATGTTGAACATGCAACATGTTACAAATGGGTCATTCAAGTAGAAAAGTGAAATTTGAAGTCCAATGTACAAAGCCTCTCACAATGCTTTATTTTTGCGTGTTCTTTGGACAGGAGAGGACGGCTCCAGATTCAGGAGTTCAGGTGGCAGGTCTTTTCCTTGAGACAGTAACCAGGCCCGTTCTTCCCGCAACTTCCTCCTCTTTGCTCGCTCTGAGAGAGAAGGATGAACACAGGGGGCAACAATTAGAGGCACAAACGATACAAAACAACAACATTGTTTTCATGGCTCGAGTTACAGTTTAAGTTGCACTAGCTGACCATTGAGGCTGTCAGGAAAGTCAATGAAAACCAGGCCTTGGTCATCAGAGACAGCAGCAGCTCAGATGAGTAGAAAGAACGATCCATCAGCCATATTTTCTTAGGCCCAGTTGATCAAAAGAGATCAAAAGAGCGGAACAGAGCAGAGAGAGTGCATATGTATCGCAGAAGCAGAGATGCCCGCCAGTCCCCCTGCTGTGTGGATTAAAGAGGTCTGAGGGAGGATTCCACACATGCAATCCACACTGAGAGCAGGCCAGGTCCTGCTGTTCATTTATAATACATTAATGAGGCTCCTCCACTGAAGGACAATCAGCAGTTCATTAACCCTTGACAGATGACATCAGAGGGAGGGAGAAAAAGAGAAGCCTGTGATTTAAGGCTCTGAAATTCCTCTCACAGTCTCAGTGTACTCTACATAAATCACAAGGCTTTGAGTGCTGCTGATTTTTGAGCCATTAAAGAGCCAAACCAGTCATGGAGATGTGAAATTCTGTGCGTGGGGTACCCTTCACAATCCATTCTGCCCCTGATCCCGCAGTTGGAAGAAGTAGAATAAGAGCCCCCTACCTGCTACTGACAGTTTGCTGATGAAAGATCATGAAATTATCGCTACTCCTTGATAGTTGACATTTGGCACTAAATTTCTTTTTTCTGCATATACTAGCAGATTTCTAACTAAGTGCAAACAGAAGCTGCACATCTTTCCGTTTGTGCTCCATCCGTCTACAGAGCCGTCCATCTTACCCTCCACAGCTTTGATCTTCTCCATCTTTTCTCTCTGTTGTTCTTCCTGCTGAAGCCTTTCCTCTTCTCGTCGCTGCTCGGCCAGCAGGACCTGCCTGTCCAGCTCTTCATCTTTCTTCTTCTCGTCCTCTGCTATGGTCTGCAGATTGTCCTGAATGCATACACATAGCCTGTTATTATACTTAGAAACGTTGGGTATCTCTACACCAATCTTATGCATACAACACCAGCAATAATGTACAGAAGCAACCTAAAGTACATGCCGAAACCCCCCAAAAATATTGCTAGGGTCTAAACAAACACCTAAGTAGAATGTACTGCAGTAGTTAAAATACGTAGAAACATGTATTGTCAAATTTAAATACAAAATGGACATTTTATGGTATTTTATAGTGTCTTTTCAGAAACAGTAGACTATCAAAAAACATGTTCACAGACAAACACACACCTCCTCATCTTGGTTAATGTGTTTTATAGAGAACCGTTGTGATGTGCGAACTGGGCTTGGGTCCATTAGCTTCTGTTTTTGCTCCCGCTCCTTAAGAAAAAAAGGAAAATATAGATGGTTAGGGTTAAGTTCAGCTTAGCAGTTAAAGGCACAATCCGTGATCCAAATGTAAACAAAAGTGCAATCACAGACTGGAAGCTCCTGTTACTCTCAAACTGATAAATTGTTTGATAATAAGCAAAGTAGCATTTCAAATTTTTCTTCTACAGTAACAACTTTTTGTGTGGATATGCCTGTATTTAAGTGCTGAGAAGTCATTGGCTCTGCTCTCCCCTCCCCCAAGTCAGCCCATCTCTTCTGATGCCTGCATTCCCCCACCTTTCCCTGGGGGGGTGGGGGGCGGGTGACATCCAAGCTCAGTCGATAAATAAATAGTTGAATCAAACCCTGTGTGCCCCTCATGACTCTACTAATCAAATGTAATGATTAGCTTCAGAAAAGCAATATGAAACCAACCAGCCAATCCTGCAACTTGTGAGCATGTTATTTTCAATCCTTAAGCATGCATCTTGAAAATACAGTCACAAAACACATCAATGACACATCAGTGATCTAAGATATAGCCAACATCACCGAGGGGTGGCACAGTCAGGCTTCTTTCTGGTCATCCAGAAAACAACCCAAAGCCACCTAAAAATGCATTAGCAGCTGTATGAAGCCTGTGTGTGGGTGAGGAGGCAAAAGAGGAAGGAAGATGTGGGTGGGGAAAGAGAGGAAGAGAAATGAGGGGAAGACAGAAGATAAATAAGACAGATGTTCATGATCTGATCTATTGTGCCACAACTCTTGTGTCCCCACTCCATCTCTCCCTTGTCTCTCTGTGAAGCACTGGCATATCCTTTGGCTCCACAACTCCTCCCTACATTACCACCAACACTACCCCCCCCCAATCCAATACACACAAGACAGAGTGCCTCTGGTGTCTACACTTTCAGAGGTCGAGAGAATCCTGCAGCACAGCAGAGCTGTCATTCAGGAGGCTCCATCCTGCCTCAAGGTGAGCTCCCGCCTGCTCTCAGTACCCCATGAAATGGCTATTGACAGCAGCCTAAGACACTTGGAAGGATTCAGGAGGTTACACACACTGTGTTTTTGACACGCTTGTATGCACACACCCACGTAAAGACAGATATATGTATGTAAAGTATACACGCATTCTATGGCATGGCCACAGTTTCGATAAATATTAAAAAGTTGAAATCATTGATCAGACAAAACGCCAAACATCTGCTGGTTCCAGCTTCTTTAATGCAGGCAGTGGATACTTTCAGTAGTCAGTGATGGTTATACATCACAGGAGTAGAAAGCCACCTAGCCATCCTACTAAACAGGTAGGATAGTTGGAAGGGAAACTGAGTGGGCAGTGTTGTATTTGACTCATGCTTGCTATGAACAGGGCAAGTAGTTATAAATGGTTAGTAGTTATAAATGGTTTGTCTACAAGTAGTTATAAATGGTTAGTAGTTATAAATGGTTTGTCTACAAGTAGTTATAAATGGTTTGTCTACCCCCCCCCCCTTCACACACATTCCAAGGAAGACATGATAGACAAATGAACATGACCCAGAGCATGGCCAAGCCCAGAAAGAGCTGACTACTACAAAGTGTGTGCACTCATTCCAGCAAACTAGCATGACAGCACAGTTCTCCACAGCCAGGCTCAAGTTAAATGCCTGGGGCAAGCTTCATTACCAAGCTGGTGTACAGAATTAAGGGCAAGCACAGACCGGCTTTCCTTCACTTCACCTGTCCTGCAGCTGGCCCAGATAAAGTGTCCAGGGAGGGCGGACAGTGATTTGTGTCAGAACATGAAAGCACCTGAATGGAGATTGAGCCCCATTGAAACCACCCACTAAAACATAAACATGTTAGACTATACGTGGTGCTTTTTGACAAATAAACAAAAAAAACCCCCAAAAAACGAAACAACACTGCAGGGATCAGATTTGCGAGAATACTAAGAAGCCAAAATGTGATTGTAAAAGCTGGAGTGCAGGACTTTTACATCTAAATGAATATCTGTTACATTCAAGCCCTTGCCAAACAAGATTACACAATGCTGATTAAGCCCATCAGCGGCAGGTACATCTCTCTGTATGGGAGAGAACGTTTATTATTGACAGTTGTTTATGTATGGTTATTATGATTTTGTAGTTTGTTTCAATATGTTTTGGCAACATTGTTGTACACAATCATGCCGATAAAGCCACTTTTTTTTTGTTTCGGCTAAAGCAACTAGGAGAGACTAATCCAGAAAACAAGTGTCCAAGAAAAGCTTCTGACACTCCAGATAAAAAAAGCAACCCGGCATTCAGAGGAAGGATTACAGTTTTTAAAAAAAACGATCGATGACCAGGACAAATGCGGAGAACCATTGGTGTAGCTTTTCCTTGTTGGAGAGAACTGAAAGAAGAGACTGAAAGCAGAAACCGATGTCACATTGCTTCTATTAAACAGGTTGGTATTTGTAAACTTTTTAGAGTTAAGCTATGTATCCATTACATTTACTCTACTAATAGCTATAGTATCTATTCGGTGTCTGACCTTGTGCTCAATCATGCTGCTTATCTCAGGCAGGAAGTTATGGCTGATGACGCGGTAGAGGTGGCGGTCCTGTGGGGAGGTTTTGTCCTTGATGCTTTCTGCCAGACTGAACCACTGTTCCTCCGTATCACACACAAGGGACCAAGTGCCTCTCTTACGACCTGGGAGAAGCAAAGAGAAGAGAGATTGGCTTATTGATTCCAGGGGAAATGTGTAGAGACAATTAAATCAGTGAAACTGGTCAAAGCTTTCTTGATGTAGTCAACATGAAAATTAAATTGCACATATTCATGATGAGCTCCTCTCACCTGTGCTGGGGCAGAGATCTTCCAGCCCATTTTCTGTCTTCACTTCTGAGACCTCACTTTCCGCCTCACTGAAAGGTAAAAAAAATACAAAAAACATTGGAGAATAATAGATCCAGAGTATTCCTACAAACAACAGAGTGATTAAAAATCTGAGAATGCAACGTCTCGCACTTTATGAATGAATTCATGTTTCCATGACTAACAGGCTTTTTGCACATTAGATTAGACTCTTATGGATGTACAATTGAAAACCTGTATCTCAGAGAGACTGGGAGTTACAGTGTGAAAGTGCCTTCAGCTAATTTTTCAGCTTCCTTTCACTTAAAGCAAAATCTAAAATTGTACAGTATTCAGTAGCAAAGATGATAGGATAAATTTAGGAATACAAAAAAAACATAATGCTATTTTTGACTGCACTACTACATCCATGATATTTTCCATGATCAACGTGCCCCCCCCCCCCACTGAGTCAACTTTTTACAACTACATGATTGTACAAACCCCCACTAACACCTATCGAAGACCACGTGGCAAACACTGCATCTGTCATTGCTGTTAAATGCATGTTGCTGTTTTACTTACATAAGCTGCACATCTGTGCAACACATGCAGAACGACACATGTCAGCATTTCTCTGCAGTAAGCTGCTGGAACTGACAACAAAATTGCTTTTCTCACCTCAGCTGAGGGTCTTCAAGCTTTTTCTTCTTTGGTGGTCTTCCCCTTTTCTTTTTCTCTGGTAATGTTAGTTCAGTGATTTCGCTGTTGGAAAAGCTACATGAAGTAGAAGAGAACTCTTTAAAATTACAGCCTTTTGACACGGGGGAGACCTCTATAATTAACCCTTAACAGGCCTGTAAACAAGTACTACAAACTACTATTGCAATTACACACTTACCGCATGCACTAGTTAACCACAGAAAACATGACCAGTGACATAACATTCATTCTTCATGTAGTGGACTGAGAATGAAGATGTAGTATTTACCTGATGTTCTCCACTTTCCTGTTTACTGGCTCTTCTTTGTACATACGAGTGCCGTAAAAGTACCAGTAGAGGGCTCCATTCCCATCCTGCCCTAGTGGTTCCACCCTCAGGCTGTCTGCATCAAGCCCCTGATGGGGGTGGGGACATTACATTTATCAAATCATGTGTAGGACTGTTTTTAAATCATCAGTCATTAGTGGGTGATGTCATTCAGTCCTTTGATCCTACACGGCTGTGAATCATACACAGAAATTAAGCGCTTTCAGTGTCTTACAGAGTACAGTCATAAATTGAATCTGATAAATTGTTTTAAAAAAAATCTTATCTCATGTGAAAAACAGTAAAATATATTATTGTTATTATTATTATTAACTAGCACAGGGCTTGGAGTTAAACTGTCAGGTTATTATTAGTTGTGCCCTAGTTAATTCCATGGTATACATTGAGTTACTGTTCAAGAGAGGGACTCTTTGTCAGGTGTAATAAAAAGACGCATTACTGGTAAATACAGTTAGACTGCTAGCATTCTGTCACACTGTAAGTGTAAATGAAAATCTTACAGCTCCTCTTCAGGCCACAGTAAGACACTCCAATAGTGTTATCAAATGGATAAAAGAATAATGCTGCCTACGTGCTTTAAAACCAATTTTGGGTTAGAGAGAGTGTTAGAGTGCTTTCACCTAAAAGATAAAAACTAATTAATGAAATAGCAGGTCTTTCATGTGCTAACCGTAATGTGTTGATGGGATACAATGCTTAAAGTCTAGGTGCTGAGGTATTTTTTTTGGTTACGCATTACATGGCAAGTAATGTCGCTTGAACCCCAGTATCACTGTATCACACATGGCTTAGATTTCAATTCGGCTGGGACAAAACAATAAAACCTAAAAAGTGAGTGATAATGTATAAAACCATTTTTGAACAAATGTCATGCATGAAAACAAATATGTCTAGTTTGTTTCAGCTGATCCTCATGGATGTGTGTACCTTGAGCAGGTCAAAGACATCTGCAGCATCCAGACGGTAGTCGCACAGCCGGTGCAGCAGTTTCACCTGAGTGCGAGGAGGAAGATTCTCAAACGGGCCCTCTCGAAGTGGGTTCGGTTTCCCTTCTTCCAGTTCCCACCGGTAGCTGATGATATCGTCCAGGTAACTGCTAAATGCCTGGGGGCTAAAGGACAGAGCCACATAAAGGCATTTTTTTTCAATGGTATGAAAACATTTTCAACACCAGATTAACTATCTTAAAATACAAATACTGCCTGAATATTTGGGCATACATGGCAGCAATGCAAATATTAAATATTTAAATTACCTGTGCACTTGCTCAGGACTCAACACTAACACTATACCCACGTATAAAGCAAGCAGCAAATTACATTCTTGGCTGATGTACCAATATATTATCACAATTATGTTTTTTTGTTCGTCTTTCCATTGTCTTTGTATGGAAAGTTGTGATGGAGTTGTGTCTTACTTTCTGTGATGAGCTCAGGTTGGTGGGTTAGCCACATCTCTTATGTCTTGCCTACGTGTGACTTGTGGTTTATTGTGTACCGTTGTTGCAATTATTTCCTTTCTTTGTAAGTTATTTCCGCAGTTTGTTTTGTATCTGATGATTATCTAGATTTGGGTAGGCTCATTCACTGAAAAGTCATTTGAAACATGCTTGTTAGGCTATATAAATAAAACAAAAAAAAGTACTTTAGTTCCCAATAAAGGCTAGTGATTAGATAAAGCCCCTGAAATGTTTGATTAATTTATGGTAAATTCATTAATCTGACTGTTGTGGCTTTTAACCAGACCATGAAGTTATAAAGAACATAATTATGTACTAACTACAAATAAACATGGTTACAACCTCTCATACGATGAAATAATACAAAACAAACCAGACAGAAGGTTTGGTCCATTGAGATCTGTCAGTATGGATAAATGCCACCAATTCAATTGCAAATGCTGTGTGCCAACAAACCATGTTTCAATATCAACTATCCTCCTTTTGTGATGCATAGCTAAGGAAACAAACAAAGTTCAAACTACCATAGTGGCCAGTGAGACTGAGGAGGTGGGGCTGAAAAAAAAAAAAAGACTAGTTTCTGTGAATGGGAGCGGGTTGTATCTCTGCTATGAGTGGGAGCTGGTAAATAAATGTTCCGGTTCAGGTCTAGCCGATTAATCTGTACCTTTCAGTTCCAACTCAGATGAACAGAACAAGGGCTTGGTGCAGGGGTAAGCATCTTTGCAAAAGGCACAGAGAAAGAGGGACAGGGAAAAAAATGGCTTATCTTGAAAGAGCAGTGTGCACTTTTCACACAGCTGCAGGCAAACCTCTCCCCCCTTCCTCACCACCCCATCTCTCTCTCCTACATTCTGTCCCTCTCGTTCTCTCCAATGTTCCCCCTCCCTCCTTTCCCCGCTCCGGCAGAGCGTTTAACACGTGCGGATGAAAAGGGCAGCTCTGTGAAAGGCCAGTGCTGAGCAGCCACCCCCAGGATGCCAGCGCCTGTCCAGTCCAATAAAGCAGGTTGTCCTCCTGTTACCGGTTGCCTGGGTGGAAAAACTGGATCATTCCTGCCTCTCTGCTCATCGGTTCACTGGTACCACTATGCTACTTGATGGGCAAGAGCAGGAGGTGTATAAAAGGGGGAAGCCCCGTGAGAGATTCAACATATATGGGGATCTGAATAACAACCTCTGCTGCATACTCACTCTCTCCCATCATTTGATCACGGGGGAGAGAAAAGTTTCAGTGGCTATGGCGTTTTCATATATCGCGGTAGTAGTAGAGCATGATTTCACCACACACCTTAAGTCACTATATGGTGAGAAAGGTTTGACTCTTCAGTGAGTCATTGTGTCCTCAGGTGACTCAGAGTTCCTTTGAAGGCTCCTGGGTGTTATGACTAATTTGATGTAGATGGAAATACTGGTATTGTTTTGGCAGCTACAATTCAAACTGAAATATACAAAAAGTTCACTAATTCATTTCCAGGCCATAGTTCTGTAAAACCTAATTCAACAATACAAGTCAGCGCAGGTTTGCACCTGATGCAAGCACATTAAACAGTTGGACGTGGATCAACTTGTACTATGTTCCCTTGTTCATGCTCCTTCAGAATACATGGTGACTTATAAAGCTAGCCAAATTAATCCTTTAATGAGAGCACTGCAACAAAGCCAAAACACTTCCATACTATTTTTCAGTTGTTTGAAGATTAAAGTTAGCCCAGGATGGAAAGCTAGTACAGCAACAAACTACGTACAGGTAAAAACACTTTGAGAAACAACGACGACTAGAGGGGTGTGTTGGAGAGTAGGCCTTCTCAATACTTCTTTGGGCTGACTGATATGTACAAATCTATCCAAAGCTAACACTGAATATCTGATCAGATTCATAACATCCTATTTTACTTAAGCAAATTTCTTCTATTGTTGCGAATGTTTAGACAACATTTAAAACATAGGCTTCCTTTGTTAAAAGAAAAAAAGAGATTTTGTAGAGAAAAACATGTACATTTCTCAAAGTAAGATATTAATAAAAGTACTTTTCAGGTATCACAGGCAAAACAAAGATGATTCCCGGCCCTATTGGAGAGAACACACAATGCTTGAATCCTATCACTATTTAGTGACCCCAAAACTAGGTATGATTAGACTAGGGATGGGGATCGATACCCTGTTCTGAAAGGACCCAGTTCCGAAATTTCTTAAAGCCTGAAAATCAATAAGGTAGCGGGTCCTATATTGTAACGTTATGTCTCAAGCGTCTAATCTGATTTATCTTGAAACGATAAGAAAGCTTTTTAATGATGGCACCAAAATGTGGTATTAAACGGGCCGGTGTAGGTACCAGATGTGCTCGGGTGGTCAGATCTGCACCTGCTGGTAACGTCACATAACGTGATTGGCTGTACGTTTGTATGATGACGTGGCAGATGGTGATTAGCTGTATGTCGTAGTGTTTACGGATACTAGTTTTCGGTGAATTAATGTTATGACATATTGCCAAAGTAAATGTGAAATAAAAGAAAAAATATTAAATAAACACCCTGATCTGATACCTACATTTATAACCGGGGGACTATGTAGTTTGTCCGAGTAGCTTAAGTTAGCTACCGTTAGCTTAACTCGATCGGCAGCTAACATTAGCGGTGTAACATTTATACACAGCTATTGCCAGGCAGTGTTAAGTCCCGTTTAATAAGTAGAGCTGTATTTCATTGTGTAAGTTCTCACACACACACACACACACACACACACACACACACACAGAGAGAGACTCCGCTCCGTCGCTGTGGAGACGGTGAAGTTAAGTTAGCTCCAAACTACTCAAGTTGCAGACAGCTTCGCTTGTTACTGTAAATGTGTGCAATAAAACCTTCGCGAGTAAAAAGACAATACTTTATCAATACACCTGTGTGTAAGGTAAACATGTAGAAAGGGTTAATTTAATCATCTCTATCATCCTGTATGTTTTATACAAGCACGGCTAATGTTAACTTGGCAATTAGTGAAATGTTAAAAACAAGCTAAATAGAAATCTGTCTGTCTGTAGCATTGACTGGTCTGTATTCTTAAAATCTGGCACATTGTTAAAAACCCTTCAATATTTGTTTATTTATTGCAAGTGATATGTCATCTCAATATACAACAGTGTTATTGCACATTGAATATTTTCCTCATACTGTGACCAAATAACAGTCACAATCAATATCAATAAAAATAAACGATTTTATGTCATAGTTGCAATTTTTTATTATCTCCTCTTGTTTCAAGTTTACAACAACGTCTCTTTCAACCATGACTCAAAATGTTATTCATCTGTTGTTGATACACAAGAAGTTGCAGTGACATTAGTTTTAACAGCAAATAGACGCCCCCTCTTTTATACTTACGTGATGTCATTGCGCTGGTAGCATCCCTGCAACAGGCAAGCAATGAGGTCCCCGAGGAAGTCTAAGTCCTGCTCTGACAGGGCCTTCTCCAGCTCCTGGACACACACACAACAAAGGAGACAGCAGGGTCAATGCACACACTAAACAGACCAGAGATATCCATGCAAAGGAACAAATTTACAGATATAACGCATCACTAAATGTTGCTGCAGTTCAGTTGCGCAATGATGGAACCAGAGGAGTTTAAGGATAACTTTTTCAATAAGGAGGAAATTAAGAGCAAAATGCAGGTGATAACAAACAACTGTTACAGTCATTATATAAGAAAAGAAAAGGCAAGATCTCAGCTCTGATGATGCATCAATAGAATGACACGATATATTAGTGAGCTCTCAGCATACACTTGTGCCAAGAGTTGGTATATCAGTGTAATCAAGGTAAGCTGGCAGAGGTAGACAGCAGGAGGGATGGATGGAATTTGCAAGCTGTCTGATTCGGGCTTCAAGGTTTGCAAGTGGGTGTTTGGCTGGAGCCGGGGTTCAAGTTCAGCCATGACCCCTCTCCTGCCTGGCATTGTGTTTCAGCCATTGAGGTTTTATGAAGCGGCAGTAACCGGCAGAGCAAACTCTAAAAGACCTGAAAGCACCAAGGAGAGATGGTAGACAGCAGGGGCCTAGAGCTGCAACACAGCCATGCACCCCCCCTTCCTCTTCTCCTCTGCTGACCAACCAAGACACAGCACCACACACATCTTCCCAGCATGCACTGCTCTCACCAACGATACCCAAGGGCTCTGGAGTAGAACAGGAGGGGAGAGAGAGACCGAACAGGAGGCTGAGAGAGCAGAAATGCAAATGCTAAGTGCTCTGTCAGCCAAGTGTCCATTTCACTTAAAGCCCCTTTTTGCAGGATGCAAAGCAGCCCCTTCAGGCTGAAGCCCAACCAGTCGCTCTTCAGATAAAACACGATTGCCTGCAGCTGACCACTGCTCACCCCTTCCTGGATCATACTCTCTCACTAACAGATCTAAACTCTTTATCTGTGTCACTCTTCCTCTCATAAACATAAGTACTACTACAGGCTCAAGAAGGGAAAAACTGGTCCATGATTATCTCAAGGACAAGGAGGCACATTTAATTATTGTGTGCTCACTTGTCTCTTCTCAGTCTGCGTCTCTCTAGAGGAACTGGGTTGAGCTCAGAGGTCACCAAAGGTCAGCGTACACACCTCCCGGCCATGGAGAATGACGGAAGCCAGGAGCCAACAAGTCAGCGCGATGAGAAACAGAAGAGGAGGAGGGGAGAGGCAGGAGGAGGGTTGAGAAATAAGTTTAAAAACAGGATAAGATTAATGTTTCTGCTTGACGTTAGAAAAGCCTGCCTCTGCCTCTGAAAGTGAGTTTGATGACAGGAGATAACCATCAGCTACCTCTCATGACTCAGATGAACAGTTAAGTTTAATGAGGCCATTGTAATGACCAATTTAAAAGCCTACAGATCAATGTGCTCACAGCGGCAAATGAGAGAGATTTTAATGGATTTTAAGAACAATTCAACTACAAAACTTAAACAGGAGGACCCTGAAGTTACTGAATTTATGTGTGCATGTGAGAGTAAGGACAGGAGCACACCTTAAGATATTTTAGGTCTTAAAGTAGCCTATTTACCAAACACAATTACTAGCTCGACATGGTAACTGTCATGCCCTGTCAACTGGAAAGGTTTGTGCCTTCATACATTCAGAGAAAAAGACCAAAAACATAAAGAAACATAGATTTTGGGCGTGCTGAAGGTTGGTTGGTCAACATAAACCAGAGATTCAGACTACTGCTGCACCATTGCTTGTGCACAGCCTGTGACAAATCACCTGGTTTCGACATCACTCTACAAGAGCAACACTGAACATAACAAACAAGTTCTGCATTCAAACACCCCACACGGTCGTGTCTAAATGGTAACCCTAGATTTGCATCTGTCTGTCATATGCGCACTTGATTCAGTGGCACTTGTATCTGCAATGAGAGATATACCGCTTTAAAATATTCATGTCCCTGGTGAGTTTGATGCGCATCTGCAGTCATACACTGAGTAAACCAAGACTAAAAACTGGTAAATTTGACAAAGCATTTAGGAAGTCAGGCGGCGTAGTATGAAGAGTGACAGAGTCTGCATAGGGAGAAAGTTTTGGTGGATGAATAGGTCAAATACAGGACTTCCACCCAGTAGACTGGCGTTCGAGTCCTATGTGAATCCATAAGCCAATATTGACTTATTATTTTCAAGATTAAAAAAAATCATATTAAAATGTTTAGTCGCAGTTTCGTTTTTTTGTTTAGGTAACAAAACTACTTGGTTAGGTTTAGGAAAAGACTATAGTTTGGGCTTCCTTATTAATAATAACAACTCAATGTTGACTTTTGGGTTCACACTGGATGGCAGAAGGACTGGACATGGCAGAAATGATGCGTACGAATCTAGGTTTACCATCTAGACATAGCTATCCAACACTGGAAACAGAGAAGATAGCAGAAATGATCAGATGCTGTGCATCTCATGTGAGCAACAATGTTTTTAAAGACACTAATACTATGCAGTTTTCCTTCAAATCTTGAGAATTTGGTTGTCATACCTAAACTGTGATACTTGTCATACTAACAGTGTACATTTACACATTAAGAGAAAGGAGGCAGAGCTTTGACAACAAAGACACATTTGTTTAAGAAAGCACGTGTCATGGCTTGTCCACATGTATGTATGCTATCCAGCTGCAGACCGCTGTTATGGCCATGGGCTATGAGCATTAAATAATAATAATAATAATAATAAATTAGATGTAAAGTGTGTGCATCTGTGTGTGTGTGTGCATCTGTGTGTGTGTGTGCATGTGTGTGTGTGTGTTCAGCCGCATTTGCATAGGATGTCGAGAGATCCTGTGTCACGCTCCCTTCCACTTCCTGGTCCCCAGTCAGGCAGCCTCTGGGCCGGAGTGAGCCCATCCATCAGAGACTGACTGCACTTTGATCACACTTTGAAAAAGCTGGGGGCCTGGGCCAGGGGAAGAGTTGAGAGTTGAGTGCAGCGCAGAAGAGTGGAGGGCTTGTAACAGCCCATGGATCAACACCACCATGCTCCACCTTTGAAATGCCACACAGCATCTCAGATGGCAGAGGGAAGGGGAATTAATGCAGTGTGCGTGCCCTTTCTTCAGCCATCCATCCAGCCGGCAATCCCTCAGAGGCCTGGTGCTAACAAACACTCAGCTTGCAAGGGACGCTTTCTGCAGCTGGACATGTCCTGTGGGAACCTGTCCTCCGCGATGAGAAGTAGTGACCACACTAATATGCTGCAAGGGCACAACCCACAACCTTCGGCAAACAGACAAAAAACGCACACTTGCACCAACATGCATTCACGTGTCTCGACAGAATAAACACAGTGCAGTACTTTGGCTGCTTCACATTAATGATCAATGGGACTCAAAGATAAGAGAGCTGGATAAGTGATAAGAAATAAAGAGTATAAATCAACAACCTAAACTGTCAGATTTCTCTCTCAGCTACTGCAGTGAACAAAACAGGCTACTCCTACTCACACACCGGGACAAAGAGTGTAGGGTGAGTCAAGGCTTAGTCAAAAGGTGTGTCATCACCACAGCCCCTCGGTAGGCCATGGCTTGCAATCAGCAATTCTCCCTGAAGGTATTTGCCACTTCTCTAACCCGACTCCCCTGCTGTTTCTCTCTCTCTCTGCTTCTCTCACTGGCTTAAACTCTTATTTCTCTCTTACACACCACTTTTTGAGGGCCTCTGAGGCATTCTATTATTCCCCAGACAACACCCGCACTCCACCCCACTCTTTTCCTCTCCGTCTTCCTTATCTTTGCTCTCCTTTTTCACATTGTCCCCACTCTAGCCAGTAGCTGGCTCCACTGTAGCTGAGGACAGTGCAGACTCTTAACAGTAAAAAGGAGAATGTGATTGCTGGCGATTCTGCCAAAATTATTCACTGGCATGGTGCGGAAAACAAAGTAACATCCTGACTGAAAACAACTGTTTGTCTCACCTATTCAATAGAATGGCAAACAGTGCGAGAAGGAACACCTGTGGTGTGAACACAGCTTGCCACTTGGCCTTTTCTCTTTCCCACAAGGCCCTGTCACACCTAATGTACCCTCACTAACATTAACAAAATGCATGAATGTTTCCAGTAAAGATGGTCACTTTTGTCATTCAGACCACTCATGCACACACAGTCACTGTGTTTCATTCTAAACTCAACCATAGACCAAGTCTTCACCCTAAAGTTTAATGATTTACATTATAGGGACTTGCATTTTGTCCCCATACGGAAGGCGAATTCCCCTCAATTTGACTGTGTAAACAGATTTGTGTCCCCACAACATTGGTAATATCTGTACATATATTAAAGTTTCACAAAACATGCCAGTATGGAACTTTAGCATGGATGGACTTGATGCACGGTGTCACACGGGGGATAATTTATAGTTTTAAATCATACTTTACTCATTGATGGTAACCCTGCAACACTTAACGAGTGTATCGTACAAGATTGGGCTTTAATTATATTCCCCACAGTAACTGTGTTTACATTGTTTCATTCAATTGTTAAATGAGTGATGGTTGGAAGGTCCACTTCATTTCATGACTGAATATTAAACTATTCTGGGCAGTTGCTGAATTTACATTTTTTTATTCACTGTGAAAGAGAGCAAGGTTTGTGAGCAGAAGGTTTACAGTGGAAATGGCTTTAGTTTCTAGGGCTGGAGATTTTCACTGATGTGTCTCTATTAGGTGATATTGACATCCAACATTGATTTCAACCGACTCCACAAAAAGAGAGACAAAGACAGAGGGGGAAAAAAAGACAAGAAAGAGAGAGAATAGAAATACAAAAACACGCAAAGCAAGCAAGAGGAGCACACGCATGAAAAAAAATAAGAAACTCACTGTTCCAATGTCATTCTGTGTGATTATTCTACTACAAATCAGACTGGAGTCTCTGCTGAAGGTGACAACCAGAGATTAACCTGTGACAGCTAGCTGGGTCTAACGTGGGTTGAACGTGAACTCCGTAAA